AGTTCCCATAAGTAGGAAAAGGACTCTTGGCTCAGAGGGAGCTCCATGTTGAGATCTAGCTGGGACTCCTCCATTGCAGCTCTCCAGAAGGCAACCTGGCTAGCACAAAAGGAAAAGGAGGGTCCAGCATTAGACACACTTATACCAGGGCTCTCAGTAGGTAGAGCTCTCAGTCCCCCACAGGATCAGCCATGACCTAAAGGAATGTCTGAGGTTCTACTCTTGGGCTGGGACACGCTGGGCCCCCCACTCACCTTCCTGGGGGCAGAATTGCTCTCTTACACCTTCTCTACTCAAATTTTTCACTGTAATCCAAGCTTCACATCCCAGCTGATGTCCCTGCCCCGCTCTTCTGTTAGGACAAGCCAAAGAGACTTCCAGTCTCCCTACCACTAAATAACATAAACTTTCCAAATTTTACACCTTCCTTTCTATTATCAATAAAGTAGCCCCAACTCATGAATCTGAGAGTGCAAATGGTTAACAAGCTCAGCTGCTAATAGTCGGTTGGAGGACTGAGACTACACAGAAGGGCACTGGAAGAAAGGCTTGCCAAATGATCAGAAAAATCTACCTCTGGAAGCCTCACGGACACCAGGTCTTCTCCAACATACAGGTCACCGCCAAGTTGGAATCCACAACTAGAGGTAGGCGATGTATACTGGTCTAACGTTTTCTCTCTTGTGTGCTTAAAGAATTTGCAAACTTCTTTCACAGGGATTATTTGTCCTGATAACTACACCTGCCACTTCACAGGTGAAAACCCCGAGTCTCAGTGAGGGTAAGTGACCTGCCAAGAATATACAGCAAGTGGGTCGTGGTACTAACACGTATACTTCTTTACCATCACCACTGCAGGGCTCCCTTTCTTCGTAATCAGTAAAGGCCTGAGGTACAGATCGTACTTCCGTACTTCAGAGGTTGCTGGCAAGTTACCACAGAAATTTGACACACATTTCATTTTTGTGTCTTATTTATTCTCCTCTGTAAAGTGGGAATACTCACAATACCTGTATTAGAGTACTAACTCAGACTTCCTCATTCACAGAACCTGAATTTTACTCATCTCTGTGGTTTTACTGCAAAGCACCCAGGGGCGTGAGGGCCAAGCATCCACTGGGTGCAAAGGCTCTGGAGGCAGGCGGGCTCTGCCTCCATCTCAAGCTCACCACCCAACTAGCTACTGTACAATGGTACTGAGTCATTTAATCTTCCTGTTTACTCTAAAATGTATCACAGTGCCTACTTCATTCAGGTACTATGAGGACTTGATGGAGCTGAGGAAAGTACCTGGCACATGATAAGAGCTCGAGAACTAATACAGCACAACCAGGTGCCATCATGTTGCTGTTAATTCATAGCAACCCCAGGCAGGTCAGCAAAGAAGGTTCTCAGTGGCTTACTGTTTTGGAAGATCAGCAGACTTCTCCAACTGTGCCTGCAAATGGACTTGAACTTTTGGTCTTTTTGTTAGTAATGGAACACATAACCTCTTAGGATCACCCAGGGACTCCTCAGTAACCGTTAGCTCGGTTTATACAATGATGACCATTATAATTCTATACTGTTCCCACCCTATGATGTTCACTGACTTCTTCAAGGAGCTCTTTAGTAAATAGATACAAGCAGCCATTCTGACATGAGAGTCCCAAGGTATTAAAAAAACCAAACCAAAACAAAAAAAACCACTGCCATGCAGATTTTCTCAGAGTCATCCTCTCCCAGGTTTCTGAGGCATTGTTAAAGGAGGAAGTGATCCGATCCATCTTACAGATTGGCTGGTAGGCTCCAATTGCTCACGGTCACTAGCTATCCTTGTTATGTACCATCTAGTCGAGACAGACCCTAGCTGACCCTCCAGCAGGTTTTCAGAGACCATAAAATTGCACAGGAGAAGACTGTCCATTTTTATCCCAAGGAGCAGCTGGTGGATTAGGGGGCCTCTGGCTGGGAGCACAGCTCCTCATCAGAGCTCACTCAACTTGCAGTCAGCAGCTGGATATGATACACACCACACCACCAGGGCTCCTGAGAGATGTGCAAGGCTCACTGCTTTCCATGGCTTATTTCATTTAATTCCTTCACAAAGCCCTAAGGTAGATATTATCAGAAAAGAGGACAAGGGCTAAAGGAATGAAGTTGCTTTTCTAGGTTCATAAAGGTTCCAAAGCCACAGTCTGTGATTTAAACCTAGGTGGTCTGGAACAACATCCAAGATCTAATAATTATGTTCTCAAGCCCTTACCTAGGGAGCTCTGGTGGCCCAGTGTTAAGAAGCTGCACTGAAATCCCAAAGGCACTGAGTTCAAATCCACCAGCTTATCTTGTGAGAAGCATGGGCAATCTTCTGTTTGATTTATTGCCTCTGACAGCACACAAGACTTCACCTGAAGAGCTAAAAGGCATGTATTTCAACAACCTATATTTGCTTAAGGCTTGATTAAGAAAGGGGGGAGGGGGAACTTGGATTCTGGAAAAGATCTGAAACAGAGTACTAGTACCTGAGGAGATTTTAAATCCATATACCTTACTACTTAGCAAAATCACTTCTAAGTAGACTCCACAAAACACACATACTTGCGTGCAAGCAGCAGAAAGGGGTCTTGCAAAAATGTTCATGTCAGGGAGATCTGGTGGCCTAGTGGCAAGAAGCTGCACTGAAATCCCAGAGGTACGCAGTTCAAATCCACCAGATGCTCTGCTGGAGAAGGAGGGGCAATCTCCTCCTGTTCCAGTCAGATCCAATTTGACAGTACACACGCAAAAAAATAATAAAAAAATTAAAAAAAAAAGTTCATGTCAATGTTATGTCTAATGGCAAGTTGCAGGAGACAACATAATACCCATCAGTATGGGAATGGCTCTATAAACATAGTTATATGCTTGTGACCATATAAAACACAGAGTATATTCACAAGAGAAGTTTACCTATCTCTATGTAAACAAATGTATCTCAAAACAGGTTGGTAAGAAAATTTGTAGAAAGAGGCCAAATACAGCAACATCAGAATGAAGCTGACACAGCCCTATAGTGTCGCTGTAGAACTGCACTCCACAAGGTTTTTCCTGGCCAATTCTGGAGAATTAGAGGCTTAGGGCTTTCTTCTGAGGTTCCTCTAGGTTGACTTGAATGTCCAATATTTTGGTTAGCAGCCAAGCTTTCACTGTACCACCCAGTGAGTCCATGTACACAGATTCACAGATTACCATGTAATGTAAAAAACAAACTTTATAAACATAGGTATGTAAAAGTGTGAGACAGGCAATACAAATAGATAAAAGTTTCTGCTCTGATAGCAAGGTCTATGAGGTGTATACATTGAACTGGGATGATGTTGGATGCTTCGCAGGTGCACGCGGGCACACACACACAAGTCTTCGAAACTTATTGATATGTTGCTGTTGTTGTTATGTGTCCTCGAGTCACCTGTGACTCATAGTGACCCTATGTACAACAGTTCTGAAGCCAGCCCTTTCATCAGTCAGTATCACTGACTCAGATACACTTACCCTAACTGCCCTAGTTACTGTATCAATCCATCTCATCAGAGGTCTTTCTCTCTTGCTCTGTCCATCCATTCTCCTGGCCACATGTCCAAAATATGTGAGGAGCTTCAAAATCCTAGCCTCCAAGGAGAAACTGGGTTCCACCCTCCCCAAGACAGATCTGTTTTTTTGGCAGTGTATGGTATGTTCAAGACTTTTCTCCAACACCACAACTCAAAGGCATCAATTCTTCTGTTATCCTTATTCACTGTCTCTCTGATGTATAACAAGTAATTGCAAAGACAATGGCCTGGGATCAGGTGTATCTAAGTCTACACTGACATCATTGCTTCTCAGTAAGAAGTCCCTGACAGCAGATTTATCTAACCATCTTTTGATTTCCTTACTGCTGGTGTCAAGAATGTTGACTGTGGAGGCGAGCAGGCTGTAACTGTTAACAACCTCAATCTCTTCTCTATCCTATCAACCTTGATATCTGTATTAGCTTTGATAGTTTAAAATAAATTTTCAGTCAGGATATCTTAGATACACAAACTCACTGTCATTAAGTTGAGACTGAGTGGACCCTACGTTGTTAAACTTTTTGCTGTATATAGAAACAGAAATATTAATCTGATCCCCCCTTGTTTCTAACTTTTGACAACTGTTTCCCCCACTCCTTGTTATGTCCTTATCAGGTTTTGTATTAGAATTATGCTGGTCTGATCAAATAAGCTGGGAAAGGTTCCCCTCTACTTTCTGAAAAAGTTAATATAAGACTGGTATTGATTCTTCATGGAATATTAGATGCAAAAGACCAAAAACCAGAGGTGATAAATTCAAAGTAGCCCTAAAGACTTAAATCTAAACCATGCAATAATCAGAATAAATGCAAATAAACCAAACCTCAGCAGGAAAAGGAAGATTCTTTCAACAAGCCAGGTCACACTGAACATCCATAGTGAAGTGAAGCTGGTGGAGAAGAACTCTATCTTTCCTTCATAACATAAGCAAATTAATTTAAAAATTAACTCATAATAGAAAATATAATAATGGCTCACAGATTTAAGTGTAAAATCTAAAACTAGAAAGGTTCTAGGAGAAAATGTATTTTCAAGACTTTAGAAGGAAGAAAGATTTCCTATACAGCAGCAAATGTTAAACACAAACTTTAAAAAAACCCCTATAGATGTCAATGGCTTTGTTCAGAGGCTGTAAATCACACTGGAGGAGATAGCCTATCTTTCTCCCTCAGAGCAATTGGTGGATTTGAACTGCCTGTCTTTAGGTTGGTACAACTTCTTACTCACTAGATCCGCAGAGCACTTCTTAATAGTGTTCAACAAACTAAGAGTCATGAGAAAACATTTGAAACATGTTCCTCTGACAATTCTGTCAGAAGACACAGATCCTGACACAGGATCTGCATCCAGAATATAAAGAATCCCAATAATTCATGTCTAAGATGACAAACCAATTCAGAAAAACAACAAAATCAATACAACAACAATAAAAGCAAAAAGAAGAGACACTTTACAAATGTCATGGCAAAAAACCCCACATTAAAAACGGTTCGCACCAGATGCTC